GAAAAGTCCAGGAAGACGGACGTGAGGCAGCTGAATGATGGCACACTCATCATTCATGGTGAGAATGTTCCAACATGGAACGTGTGAATTTGTGGTACAACCATCTGTTGTCCATCATGTCGATTCGCATGAAATCCTATCAACTTGCCTGGCTATCTTTCCACTCCGTCCTTTGCATCAAAACCATTACTATCATAAACTGCTATTCTCCAATATCGGCAGCTGATTATTCGCAACAAGATTCCTTTTATGGGGATTTGGAGGAAGCCATCCGCAAAGAGAAGTCCTTCTGCAAATTTGTCATGGGTAACTTCAATGCGAATTGGGATGCCAGAAGAAGGGGAACATAGGATCGGGAGATGGATCAGGACTCCGGAATGAGAATGGTACCCTTTTTATTGGGCTCTTATCCGCTGCACAATTTTTTCATGGCAACTCCATCTTCATGAAGAGAACACCGGCGGTGGACATGAGAGTCGCCTAACGATACGATTTAAGCGGAGATCAACACATTTTCAGTAACCAAAAATGGCTCCTATTGGACGTTTTAGTGGTACAATCCTTCAGCACTGGTTCAGATCACCGCCTCGTTTTGCGCAAAAGTGCGTTTGAGCCGAAAGCTGGAAAAGATCTCTCTCCGTGTTGGAGGAAGGAGAGAAGTTTACATGACGGCGTCAGATGAAGGGCTCCTGCCCACTTGTGACTGGCCCATAGAGGAGGATCAAGCAAAGTACTACGACCTGCTTCTCAGATGACTGAGAACCTGTGGTGAAAGTGCCTCAATGCCTCAAAAAAGGAACATGGAACAAATTTTGAAAGCCACCAAGTGTTAGAGAGGAGGGAAGCAGTGAGGCTGGATCTGTCTGCATTACATCTCGACTGCTAGCCGATACCAGTTGTAGAACAGCTTTGCAAGAAGATCGTCGAAAGTACAGGCGATCATTTTGGAAGAGGCGCAAGGAAGGAGTCTTAAAGTATGGCAGGGTCCCTCCCTTTTACCATGTTCCGCTGACAACATTATCAAACAAGGACGGGACTCGCACATCTTTCCAATAAATGATGGAATCAATCAATAATGATCTCTTCCGCTCAACAAACCCGTGTCAAACCCCATTTCCCACTGGATACCACCACGGATTCTACCTGCTGAAGTACGCGACGTGATCCGATCCATAAAGGTAGCCACGGCTCCAAGATCGGACCGAGGACACCGCGTGCACAAGATACTTGCGGCACGCCTATCGTCTTACCTACAGGAAGAGCGATCAGTGGAGAACCTCCCAAACAATAGTTCTTCATAAGAAGGGTGATAGGGAGGATTTTCGGAACTACCGTTCAATATGCCTGCTGAGCGTGCTTTACAAGCTCTTTACGAAGATTATTCTCGCTCGCAT